CGCGCTGCCAGCGAGCGCGAAGACCGAAAACAGCGATCCTGCTGTATGCTGGAGTAACGTGCGTATGGCCTCTATTTAGACGTGGGGGGTGTCCCCCCCACGTCTATTTGAAAACTTGGAAATAAGAATTATTCTTATTACCCACCCCCCCCACGTCCCCCCCCCCGATAGGGGGGGGGAATGCTTGGGCAACTCAGGGGAGTAAGTTAGTTCTGTCCCCCACAATCTAACCCGCCCGAACCTAACACCAAAACCTGCATAATCCACCGCTACGAGAACAGTAGTCTTTGTAGGGCACTCTGCGCATTTCGTGTTTTTAGTCGATCGGAGGGACATGCGCACGTCTGTCCTGACAAGCCCACACATTCCAGCCATGTCCTACACCCAGACCCACATTGGACATCCTAAGACATCTAAGACGAGGGTCTCGATAGCCCCCCGGCCTGCCAAGAACAAACTGAGTCCCTTACCTTGCCATAGGCGCATTTCAAAAAGACTGTGCCGGAAACTTGGCCAAAACCTTTGTACCTCTGATTCGGCAGACAGATAGACTTGAGGTCCCAAAGTAGGTAGTATCTATGAACTTGGGTTCCCAGGGTAATCAGTCCCAGGTCTGAAGATAACCCGACTGTGCTGGGTCTGTTGCGCTGCCCTCAGGTGATTGATGTGGTTTTGGGGGGTTAACGTAGACACCCCCCAAAAAAAGATCCTGTCCATAAGATGGTACTGGAAATCCTAAGATTTGATCTTCCACCTTCTTTGTGCACTTTGGGCTCCATACCTCACATTTGTTTGGCGGAGGGTGGATTCTTGCAAGCTTTTGGTGGATTCTGCGGGAGATGTCGATTCATGTGCAGGCTAGGTTTTGACCGGGTTGTATACCATCCTCCCGTTTGGTGGCCTTAATCTTCTGCAACATGCCACACTTGCTTGTAGGCATAAGGCCGGGGAGGGAGGGTCATCCCAGGTTTAGCTGTCCATCAGCTAAACAAAGTCATGCAGGCGTCCGTCCGTCAAACGCCAACCTGCTTCGCTCGCCCCAGCCCTGCTTCAATCAAGGCTATCGCCCGTCGTCTTTGTTGGGGAGGAGTGGCGAGTGCGTCTACAGGACGCTGTCCAGAAGCACAGCAACAGGCTCCAGTAAAACTTTCAGTTACCCTAAACAAGCCTGTGTAACAAGCACATCAGTGAGCGCTCAGTAAACCCATGGTCCTTCATCGTGAAAAGTCTCCAAACAACATGATGTTAGGACAGGCTGCCAGTTGCAAACACCTCAACTTGCACACGGTTTGGGGTTGCAAAGTCAGAGCCGCACATGTGCTTTTTCACAACAGCATACAACAATCACAAAAAGGGAATTCTAGAGGCCCCAGAGTCCCTAAGTGTCCCCAATCTTGAGAAACTCCCATATGCTGCCTTGGTTTTGGAAGTTGGCGTCGGCCAGGCAGCGGCTTATGTATCACTGGTACAGCCACGCACGGCGAAACTACCAGAGCTACATCCTCAACAGTGAGTCGCCGCAGCGGAAAAGCACCTTGGCTCCAGAGCAGCCCTGAATCAACCTAAACCCGGACCCAGGGCTACTAAGGGGTCAGGGAAACTACTTACAGAGCCTTACACCTTGTGGTTTTAATTTAGAATGGCGCAGGTGGTACAGCTCACAATCCCCAAGGACACCAGCAGCACCACGCAGCATTGACTACAACGGCATGGATTTCTACGAGGGGCTATGCTGATGGCTTTCCCGCTCGTACAGTTCGTTACGTGTTTCAAGGGCCCCTCCAAGCACGTACAACCCTAAACCCCCACTCCAAAAATCAGGGGATTTGCTCTATGTAAGGCTCTGAGTCCGCTGCACACTGAGGCCTCCTCCAAGAAGGCTTCCTTTAAGGGAGACAATACATTTAGATAATGCTAGAATATGGACCTCCGCTGCCTTGCTAGCAAGGCATCCGCCCTCCTTAGCAATACCTCTCTGAAGCTGTACGTGGCTCCGGTATGATCAGCACGCACCCTTGCATCCAGACCTGAAAGAATTGCCCATTGCAGCTCTCATCGTCTAAGGATATGTCCATGTGCTGTGGTTCCGGGCTTAATGCACTTTGCTCCGTCGATGTGAGAGCCGGAAGAGGTTGATGGTCAAGGCTTTGTTAGCGTCATATTTTAAAAGGACTTCTTCTCCCCAAACGGGTAAAGACACCAAAGTCGAGGGTATACAGAGTTTTCTTAAACATACCCAGGCTATTTTCCGTAGACTCGGCATGCAGAGTCACAAATCTCCGGCGAGCCCTAAACCCTAACTTGAGAGCTTGCGCGTTGTTGGGGTAACTTTTTGCTTCTGCCATGTGAGTGCTGAAGCCCGACTTCAATCCAAGATGTGCAAACAGAAGCTTAGACAGCACAGGCCTTTGCTCAGCGTCGCACGGCAGCGACACCAGCTGCAGAAGGCTTGCCAGAGACTGGCCTCTTGTAATTAGAGCATGAAGGGATGGCAGGGAAACCCTAGACTAACATGGTAGCCCGCAAATAAAGGTCCCTTTTACTTTTGAAAGGGCGCTCATCCTTAGAGTGCCCTTTTTGGCTTCCATGTTTATCGGGGAGAGATTTGGTAATAGGGATGATTACAGCTATCCCCTGCTTCATGAAAGCGCGACAGGAGCTTAGCCCCTTGGTAGCCTTGGAAGATCGATTCTGGCCCTCTGTCTTGCTGAGCAGGTGACAGAACTTTACTACGGGGCAAGTCAAAGTCCCAATTGTCTCATGACTCTCCTGATCCAGTTGAGGTTCATCAAGGTTGAAAATAAGATTTGCATCGAGGTGGCAAAGGTGCTTAGCTAAGGGTATACCTCGGTAATGCAGGTTCGTTGTCGTGAGCAAGCCACAGAACACACAATTCACGCATGTGTTGTTGAGAATGCTCGCATTCTGGACGAGCGATTCAGCGCTGAACGGTGCATCTAGGTTCCTTCAACCGCACCTCTCTGGAATTGAGGCGTGAGGCTGCTGGGCCTTATGCATTCGAAGCGCGCAGAGTTGTGTCTCTTCGGGCCACCAACAAATCGTAAGGCCCTAAATCCCGGGGCGTCACTGGCTTACACCTGAGACTTTTGCTCTCAGTCATACGGACTGTGGAGTCTGTAAGGGGGGTAGAATATTGAAGCAATCCGTTGCCAAATTCCTAAGCCCTAAACCCCGAAACATGAACCCTATAGTCCCCAGCGCCGGGTCTACCACCACGTGCGCACGCCAGGGCTCCGGCTTTCCGCCACCCTCCGTGGTTGCGCTGCTTAACGAGGCTACGGGCTCTTACTGGTTGGGGGGCGGATTGTAGGGGCCTTTCAAGGGTATCTGGACCACTGGAGTGCAGAGCATGTACAGGTGTTTTCGGAAATCAGAGTTCGAGGCTCTTGTTACGTGGGCCAGTTTGGTTTGAGATTTAATCTGATGCAGGCGTTCAGGATTACATTTGTGTTAGGTTGTTGGGCAGCATAGGGTTAATGGGTGTGCCTGACAACCTTGGTCTTGCTCGTGGCCCAGTAGGCACTAAAGACTTGAAGAATGCAAGTGGGACTCTTGGCGACATCCCTGTCTGCTGAGGACGTCAAACTTTTCTGTAGCATTCCGGACTACTGACTCACGCTCAGTCGTGCATGGGGCAATGGATCGCCATGGCTGTTGTATGAGAATCCCCCACAATCTTTGTAGCCACTTTCCATTCCCAATCAAGACTAGGTAAGACCGAAGCCCTAAACCCGAACCGAATCGTGTTAGCAGCTTCCATTTTTCCATTTCCAAATTAAACATGAGCCAGGAGATCCCAACTCTTCCAATTGGAGGTTGATGGGAACTAGCCACCGAATGACAAGCCTTCTTATCGCACCACCACCCTAAGGTCCCTTTGAAAGGTTTATTTGGATATATAGGGTTCAGAGTTCCGGGCTTTGTTATTAGATATGCTCGGTAAGCCCCTAATTCTAGCCCCCTTGGCTGGGCTGACGTAGTTTAACTCAACTGTACTAAGCCCAACAAAACCTAACTAGACCTTAGTCCTTAAGCCGTAAACCCAGCTTTAAGAGACCTGAAAAAGGATCAGTCCCATGAACCTGCAGCGTTCCAGGTGGCGGCCTCGGGCTTGGTGTCCGCCAAGGAGGCAGAGGCCTTCAAGATGCTGACGCTCTTCTGCCTGGCATCCGTATGTACAAATATGTACATATATGTACATGGGTTACTGGCAATATTAGGATTTTCCATTACTTGGGGCACTAGATGTATATATATATATAAATATATGGACACCCCCCCCCCATGATCCACCGACCCCCTGAAAACACTGTAAATACTGATAAAAACAAGCATTTTCGCATGATCGGATTTTGGACACCAGCCCCCCCAATTTCGAATTGAATTGTATTCTATCCATACAAGTTCCTTATTAGATTTCTTTAAAATGAATACGATATCCAATTCTGGTCCATTAAAATCATTTATTGAGTCTATTTAAATTCAATATTAGAATTCTCGACTTCTGGATTTCTGGTTTCTACCTGGATTCTAGCTGATACAATTTCCTTATGAAGTAGAGTATGGAAATACAGAAAGCACAAAAAGCACCAA